GGCTAGAATTTGTCCAGGTTATGAACTTGATGCATCCTATCAAACCTTGGATACAACTTATTTTCCATGAACGTTTCACGCTTAACTTGCGAAAGGCGTGTCATAACAATGCAAGGTCTTTTCACGGACATGCATTGACATGACTTCGTGACGCTGAAAGTAAATGGGCAGCTGAAATAGATTTCCGTATCACCATCCTTATCACAAGCAGCCATTTGTCATGACCATGGAAAACTGCAGTGACAGAGGCGGATGTAAAGCATATACAAGGAGGGCAGTTCTGGAACCGACCAATACTTTCTTATGCATTTCAGTGCTGACACCAGGTACGCAAATCAAAGTGACCGAAATCCGGGGAAAATAGGGGCTTGAGCATAAGTTAGTTCAACTTTATTGGCTCAACGGGGATTTCAAAATGTATCCACCACGGGCACAAAAATAGCATCCATACAGTCTTTGAACTTACTATAATTAAAACATCAACTTGAACATAACACAGTAGATCTGAACGCTTCATCTTAATGGGTCAGAGTGTAAATTTACTCCATTTTGTATCCTCATGTTCTACTGTCATTGGGCCCATCTTGGTCCAATTAAGAAAGCTAGCTCTAGACGCAGGTTTTCGTCCAAACCTCTTTCACCAAAATCAGCCGGACACTTTTCTGAGGTCCCTTGATGGGAAAGACATCTCAGGCATGGTTTTCAAGTGAGATTTACCACGTGATGACGCAACTAACTTCCACTGTGGCATTGCCGTCTCGTCATTTACCGCCAGCATCCGCGAGCATTTTGCGGCGTTTTTGAGCTCACAGCGTCCGCCAAAGCCAACAATGTCGACCAGTAAGGGGAGGATCAGCGGAGGGTCAGCGGAGGCAGCGGAGATCGCAACACACGACCTGTGCAGCACGCAACCGCGCGGACGGTAAACAACCACACTGGCGCGCCGTGCCTGTGGGCTTCGTCCCAGGCAACCAGTCCAGGCACACTGCTGACACGTGCCGCCGGGCTGCCTCCAACACCGTGGGATGAGTGAGGGGTGGGGGGGTGGGGGGGGGGGGGGGTGCCGGGCGCATGCACGTAATAAGCTCGTGTCCCTCATCAAATTGTTCAAATGCTTACCTGCGCGATATGTCCTGCGATGTGCTTATATGTGCTCGATTAAATACCAGCACAAAAATACCGGGTCTGTGCGTATGATAAATTCCTACGTACGTCCCTGATGGGGGGGGGGGCTCAGAGAATGACTCACGTTAGCTTCATTCAGGGCTGCCCGATGGCATCGCGCGGGCCACGCAGTTGGCCGGAAGCGCCAAGGCTTTGGGAGTGACCGCAAAAACGCAGGCCGGGTGTTGGCGTATTTGGCGGTGGTGGTTCCCTGGAGCTCCATTTTTGCCGAAGGTTCGGCGGCGCTTTTTGTTCCGTGTTTTGTTTGCACAGGAAGAGCTGAAGGAGGCAGAAGGCCGCGCCTATTTCGTCAAGTCCTGCAGAACAAGCTTTGCCGAAGTCTACATGGTCATCAGGTGGGTCGTTGTCCGGCAGCGAAGAGTGGTGGGAAGTCCAGCGGGAGCGATACACGGTCACGTACTGTAGTTACTGGTTCCTGGTGTGTGCTATAATGGGGCTGTCGCGATATCAGTTTCGTTACATCTTTGCATTGCGAAAATTTGTCCATCATTCTTCAGGCGCTGATGACAACATCCGAATGCACCATAACATTCATTGCCGTATTTTGGCCAAACAATAGCGCATCCGGCCAGTAATGATGGGCTTCCTTTTTATAAAAGGAATAACTATCAAGTAGCTTTGTCGTGGATGAAAATTCCCTTAAATTATAGCATGCTTCCATGTGTGGTTAGGAGGGGCTCTAGAATCCCATTGCTCCAGCGGTGCGACATGAGGCCAATAGACGTTTAGGGGTGTGCAGGAAACCCCTTAAATACCGATGCCACATTAAATGCCACATCAGCGAAGAAAGTTCAAATTATTGTGCTGACTTGTGCTATGCCACCTCTCACAACTGAAGCATAACGCGATGGCAGCATCAGGCGATGGTTTGGTGTCACGGTAGCATCAGGTGATGGTATGATATCACGGCAACACCAGGCGATGGTTTGGTGTCGCGGTAGCATCAGGTGATGGTATGATATCACGGCAACATCAGGCGATGGTTTGGTGTCACGGTAGCATCAGGCGATGGTATGATATCACGGCAGCACCAGGCGAGGGTATGGTATCATGGTAGTATCAGGCGACGGTAGTATCAGGGGAATGATGGGCCACTGAAAGTTTGCTGATCGTCATATGCACAATGAATCACACAATTTTTGGAGCCATTAACCGCTCGGAATGGGCAGTAGGACTGAAAAATTTTAATCGCAAATTATATCATGAATTAAAAATGTAACATGAAATCACATGAGGAGTCAGCCAAGCGTTGCTTTGGTGCATGGCTGGAATTTGTTATGCATTGGGAGCGGCCCGAACCTTCTCGAATGATTCGGAACTTTGGCGTAGCGTGTAACAGTGCTGCGTAAAAACCGGCTTTGATCCCACGATACCCTACAATCGTCTTAATCAAGCTCCGTGGTTGCTACGGCTGTGCTATACTAAGCAAGAGATACTCCCGAATACTCGGCCAGACGAGGCTCAAAGCGGAAAATTCAATACAAATGTGTGGATTACTGCGATCAGAAATGATCGGCCAATGCAACGCTTACACGATTATACTTTAAGAAAGGGAAAAGGCAACTGTCACTGCCGTCACACAAGTAATAATTGCAACCAGAATCTATCACGCAAGTTTGCACAGCTTTTGCCCAGATTATTTCCGCCAAGCTCGCGCGTTAACACGCACGACGAAAATCCCATTTACATTGCCCAGAGCCCCCGCTCCAAACACCTCGTCTCCCGACGGGCGGTCGGCTGGGAGCGCAACCCACTCGCCGCGCGGCACGCACACGGACCACAGATCACCGGCGCGGGCTCGGGCGGCGAGGCGATGCGCGCGAGACCTCGCCGCTACCGTGAGCGCTGATGACTCGCAGCAGCGCACCTGTCTCGGCGGCGATCAATTACGCCAAGACGCCGCTGTCACGCAATTCGGCAGTTGTTGCTCAGACGGCGCGGGGCACAACAACAGGTCTTCCAACTTATTCCGCTCGGTCTTTGTGCCGGTGCTGCGCCCACGCGCAGTTTGGCTCGTTTATACAGTGTGGGCTAGTGTGGAGCAGTCACCTTTGTTTTGATAAGTACTATCTCACCTTTTTTAAAAAGCACGCGATATATAGACACTGTCGTTATATTAAGAGTAATCTTTGTTGTGTCGTTAGTCCTGTCCTACCAAGCAAACTTTTCGAGCTTTGTAGAGCTTTCCGAGAACGTGTCTTCGTCTTTTATTCCCCAAAGCGGACTTCGACCCAGTTGCCACTGCTGCACTTCTGTCTTCGGTTTACGGCACCATGACACTGTCGTCTAAAGAACTGTTATAATCGTGGAACTATCCCACAGTTTATTTACATTTCTTTGGGCTAGTGCCAACAACAAAGCTTGGCACAACTACTGCAGTGCAAAGTCCGGATGGGCGAAGAAACACATGCCACATGAATGGGAACATATTCACCACAACCTCCCAAACGTTTAGTTACAAAATAACCCTTCAGTGCGTTGCATTTATTGATGGAAACGCGTGAGCTATTTTGTCATTTTTAAGTTCGTATTTCCCAATTTTCTATTTTCACCGTTGTCATGATTTTTCCCTTTTTAGCCTGCAACAACGGATCGACGTCGGATCCCCTGCACTCCACAAGGACACGCTCCATTATGCAACGGTTCAGGCACGCCCCCAACTGTTGTTTTCACTCGCCTCGCCGTGTCGACAGAGCGGGACGCCCAGGTGTAGAGCAGCGTTTCTGTCCGCCGCCTGACGCTCCCAGCGCCGTTGAAGTGCCGCGTCTGGTAAAAACTTGCCGCCATAAAAGTCACAAGTGGTCTGGTAACGACGCACTGACAGTGTGGCACGCACAAAGAGCGCTGGAGGCCTCCCGCCGGCTGCCAAGGATGCGGTGGCCGATTGATCGAACGGTAAAATCATGCCCAACTCTGCTCAGCCCGAACAATATGGGGCTGGTGGTATACGAAAACCGGCGATTCGCCTGCAACGTCGCCGCGCCGGCGGTTTTGACTGGCAGAGGCCCGGGGTCGTCAGAAGCCGTCGCATGGAGTGACGTGCGGTACAGGCGATGAGCTTCGCAGGCTGACCTGCGCCAATGCGACGGACTGACGTCGCCACCCATAGACAAATGGCGGCCTTCTCGATGCACGTCCGCCGTGCAAACACAGTAACGCAATTTTCGAATGCGGCAACTGCGGCGCGAACAGCACTAAGCCTGTAGAAAACAGGGGCATCCATTACGGCGATGCATCTTGCAGCGCCAAATGGCCCGCGTCGAATCGCCCCAGTTCCCGCGCCAGGTTTGTCGACGCGCGAACAAATACGGCGCGCATTATCTCAGTTTGGATACCGGCCGGCGCCATTACCGCAAATTGAGCGTGGCCAATCAGCGCCGAGTGACGTCACCGCGTCATTTGCGCGTCACGCGCAGGTTGTTCGTGCGTCGGTTGTACACACGCCGTGGGGTGTTACACCATTGTGTGACGTGACTGTCACGGAGCCGCGTTCGGGCGTGGGAACGGAGGCTCCGGAGGCGGTGCGTGACGACCAAGGTGCTGTCTTTGGCACCAGCGCTGCTGGCAGACGCTGGCGGCGCATCGATGATAACTTCGAGAGTGACGCAGTTGTTATTGACTCTAGACACGGACTGTGCCAATCGCATCGAGAGATTGTCACGGGACATCGAAAAATGACCCAAACAACATGGATGAAGCGTTGAATTACGGCTACGCTCCGCCTCTATGTTGACATACATGCCGATGGAAATATGTGCTCTAGGGTATGTGCACGGTAATTCCAGCAGAAACTAATTCTTATCAGAAAAAAGGCAATGGCACCATCCTGGCCCGTTGCCAACACGCGCAAAGGCCAGGTCTACGGCACGCGCCGAGGCCAGGCCCACGGCACGCGCAGAGGCCAGGCCTACGGCACGCGCCGAGGCCAGGTCTACAGCACGCACAGAGGCCAGGCCTACGGCACGCGCAGAGGCCAGGCCTACGGCACGCGCAGAGGCCAGGCCTACGGCACGCGCAGAGGCCAGGCCTACGGCACGCGCAGAGGCCAGGCCTACGGCACGCACCGAGGCCAGGTCTACAGCACGCACAGAGGCCAGGCCTACGGCGCGCGCAGAGGCCAGGCCTACGGCACGCGCAGAGCCCAGGTCGACGGCACGCGCAGAGGCCAGGCCTACGGCACGCACAGAGGCCAGGCCTACGGCACGCGCAGGGGCCAAGCCTACGGCAGGCGCAGAGCCCAGGTCTACGGCACGCGCCGGGAGCGGCACGCGGCGGCCGGCGGCGCCGGTGTTTGCAGACGGCGTCTCGCGTCTCCCCAGCGTGCCCAGAGACAACACTCCCGGCGGGGTGCGTGGCGGCGGCCCGCTCCGGTTTCATTGGCCGCTAAGTAGCGGTAAACAGGCGCGGGATCGGGTACCGCACGTGCGCTGGCGCAGGTGCCGCACGTCCGCTGTCGCGCGTGCTGACTGACGTCGGATATTGCGGATGTCGCCGCTGCATTACCGTACGCCGTTGGGCGCATCAGGGATTTCAGTCGGCGTCGGCTGTGGCGGGGGCTCCGGCATATCCCCACGCGCTCGTGCCTTCGGAAGACTGGCCCAGGTTGAGCAGGTGGGTGTTCACGGGTGGGCCGTGACACGCCGCAATACGGACATGCATGAGCATTGATATAGTCTTGTCACAAGCGGAGCGGGAAGAGCGCTCAGATGATGGAGACAGATTGATGGAGGGCTGAACCAGCCTGGAGGCACGGCACTTTATCTCTTCCCATCGAGCCCTGCGGGTGCTGAGTAATAAGCGCTGGAAATGTCCACATATTTTGCTTTGCCACAAGGACGCTGGGCGGCATTTTATCTCCTGCCATTGTCCGTAAATACACGTTTCACGTCGTTATTACAGAGTGAATGGCTTTGTTACACCAAGTGCCCGCATCCATGTATCATACATTCTTGTCATACTTACCGGGCGCCCGTACCGCGCTGCGGTAAATGACCACCACCGTGCATTACTCACAGCCCACCAAGGCCGTCAGCGAATCCTCAACAGTGGTTTAAGTCGGTTCCGACCCACGCAGCGCAGGTCAGCGCCCCCGCCGGATCCGAGGCGGGGGCGACCTCCCGGGTCAGATTGCGCCCGCTCTCGACGTTTGGCCCGACACCTGGGCCCGGGCCGCCGCCCGGCCGGTGACTCAGGCGCGTGCGTGTCGCGCGGAGGCGGCCAGCGAGCGTTGGCCGCCGCACCCTTGCGCCACTGCGTCGCGGATGCGTCGCTATCACTGACGCGGCGTCTGCTGCACGGCATGACTGAGTCCAACCGGAATTCGCGCCGATAGGTGCTGGATGCGGGCACGTGGCCTGGTGTCAGGGGCCGGGCGAGGTGATTGACGTCGGGGATTTGCTGCAGGTGTGAGGATGAGTGAGCTTGAAGCCTTTTTCAAGCGGCTGTCACCCAGCGCAAAGCGCGACCGTGACGAAAAATGAAGTTCTCCAATTACCCTGCCGAGGCCAATGCGCCCGCAGTCTAGCGTTAGCGCCACGAAACAAAAAGCCCTGCCTCAAGCGCAGGCCCCAGGGCACAAGAGGAACAATTTGCTTGCCGAGATTGGTCTGAAAAGCCTCGCGCCTACGTGGTCCTTGACCTTTCATGTGTACGTGACGCGTGTGATTAAGCTCAATAGCACGGCACCATGATGTCTTGATGGGCTTGGCATCGTTGTTAGAGGCCCACTTTGTGGTGACCGGATTGCAGTGCTCTGTGAAAGTACTTCAGTGCCCGACCGAATAAACGCATCGATTGCGAAATTTCTAGTGTCATCGCATCTAGCACGCTTGAGGGCCGAGTTCGGGGCCGTGATCCGGTGGTCTGTTGCTTCACCTCTGACCCCAGGCGCCACACCCGAAAGGCGCCACCGCCCGCTTGGGGCATCGTACTGGCTGCACGCGCAGAGGCTACACGTCAGTCCTGTCTGCCAGACCAGAACGATCCAGTGAGGCAGGTATCGGAACGACGGAACCGGGAAATGGCCTGGCAAGGACTGGATATCATCAGAGAGAGAGCGAGAGAGAGAGAGAGAGAGAGAGAGAGGGGGGGGGGGAGGGAGGGAGATTGCAACGCATCCCAAAGTTGGAAGAGGGCGAGTGATTATCAATGGTGATCAGCGCTATATAGGGATCGTCGTCATCTTTTTGCCGCGAAATAACATCTGTGCAGCGCCTTCTCAATCCGCCGCCTGAAAAAGCAGCGCGCCGAGTCCTCTGAATCAAGCGCTGAACACGCCGTGTTTGCTCAGCGGGCGCATGCTAAGCCCTCCTTTGTCGCCATGTTAGGCACGGTGCTGGCGTGACAGATCGCCAACCTTCGGATGGCAAGCGGCCAAATGTTTTTTGAACAGTCATAATCGAGCAACAAGTCTTTCTGAGGCATTCTTCACGCACACTCGATCCTACAGAGTCTAACGTGAATGCGTTCCCGGAAAAAGTCGCTGGATCTACCTGGAAATATCGAACATTGCAAGGCAAGTCAAAACGCCTAGACTGCCATGGACATGAAGCATTTGTGCCGTGCATTTTATGTTTCTATGAACGTAGTGCGGAAAATTTGACAGCCTAATGCGTACTTGTTTTATTATTTATTTTGCTACTGTAATATTGCGTTGCCACTCCCGTCGCCTCTTGTGATGCGTTAACTACTCCCCATTTGCTCCCTCCTGCGTAAGTAACTTAGTAAAATGGAGGCCTGAAGACATCCGCCATCGATATTTGCGCACCGGAAGCTCCGCGTTTCCGGTCGTTACGTTGCCGTGCCTCCCAGGCAGAGATAAATACCCTACGGCGGGACCACCCGACATGAAACAAGGCGACTGCAATGAGCCGGCTAACGCGGCTAATGGGGAGACGATGGGACAAATGTGGCGCTGCTGGGGACGACGGGACGAATGTCGTCTGGGACAGTGGATAAATGTGGCGAGACATTGTGTGATGACAGACAGTGCAAAATCCGCCCCACAGACATACTCCTGCAACAGTTTTCAGCCTTTCCGGAGTGGAATATGTGAGTCCAATTTATCGTTTCGAGGCGATTCTCAGGTGCACCATAGTAGTTTTTGTATCTGAAAGTCCACCCAACGCTGCTCCTCGAATCCAAAAACCCGTGACGCTTGCCAGAAAAGGCTATTGAAAAGGCTCTCACAGATACGCAAGCCGACATTCTCCATCCGACTTGCCAGCTGATGGTGGCAGCAGTATTTCTGTCTGGAAAGGAAAACGTGAACACAGCATACTTATCTAGAAGCATTTCAGTTTCATGCAAAACACACAAATCAGTCACGTGTTTGCATTTAATAATAATTTGTCACGCTAGCTTATGCAGGTGAACCATTAATTCCCCTAAATATCAAGCACGACATTAGTAAAGGTGACAGCAGGCGAGGGACTTACTAGCACAAGTAAAGGAATTGACTAACGATTAACGGTAAATACGTATTTTCATGGCATAATCACTGGTGGGGCAAATGAAAACTAAATATTAAGTCTACTGGTGAAAAATATGTGCTTAGGCTGAGACGAAAAGACCTTCCCTTTGATCATATAAAGATTGAAAACCTAATCACCACACCTTACTAATGCCGAAGATGCCAAACAGTAGCAGCGTGCACTGATGTTGGTCCAGTGTCAGAAATGGAACGTTACGTGCATGAACGCTGCTGCCTACACTACACATGTCTGTTTTCCAACGCCGAGAGAACAGCTTGCGAAAGCACAACTCCGCCAGCAATATATTGTGCTCTGATATGCGATACATTGCAGTTTGTTAGCTTTGCATCTAGCTTATTCAGTTCTTCACCTCAATCGCGTTCCATGAAATGGCAAAAATAGTAGTGCGTTATTTCTCAAGCCAGAGCGAGATTTCCCCAGACAAACCGTCAACGACAAGACGGTACTATATTTCCCCAGAGAAGCCGTTCTCGCAGTTGTCCGAAGATCCGGTCTAACCATTTGAGACACGCATTCGAGACATGCCGTGCGTTGCCACCATTGTGTCGTTATCAATACTTACTTGCTCGGGGCTTTAGGATTGTGCTGCTATGGTTTATGAAGTGATCAAAGCTTTTGGAGCTCTAGAGCGCATGTCAGTGTAGAACGTTATTCCGAAACAGTAGGATTCAAAGACAAAAGACTCAGTTGCTCGCAGTTTGCTGATCCTTCTGACGCATCTTGCCGACACCGTAAACGTATGGACAGAAACATGCGTTGTGATCTGATATCACATGCGTTGATAACGCGCGTGATATCCAACATGATTCTGACCATTACGTTTAATGATGTCCTAATGCGTGAAATTTGCATGAATCCCGATCATATCTCATGCTGAAATTTACGTTTAGTGATTGTTCGGCGTGATAATATGTGGTTAGTTACTTCGATGCTCTCATTGAGTTGCCACATTAATATTAAGGAAGCCGAGGAACTAAATTTAAATACATTTTTGCCAATTTTGCATTGTTAATTGCCCCATACTGACACGAAACTTGTAATGTAAAGATGATAATGCAGGTATTTGTAAAATCGCAGAAGTTGAATTTTGTATTTTGAAACCTCGTGAAACCCCGTTAGCGTACTTGCAAAGACCCGCACAAAGTCCTGCAGTCTTTCGAGACTAGTGCCTTGACTGCCTACCTGTCCAAAAGTAGCGACCAGACTACGTTACAAAATGTGACCGTTGGTTTTTGTGCAATTTCTTTCCGGGTTCTTCATTTTAACTGAATTTCGACGTTCGTCGTATTCTATGCATTATTTTAACGCACATTTGAAACTTTGCCCACCAATTTGTTGACCACATCGTCATGCTTAATGACATGGTTTATGCATCCCACCTCTTTATCGTCACAGCTCCCCTTTCGGGGTATCCCCTAGTGGCCATTATCGTGTAGAACCATCACCCTCAATTGGAAGCATGATTCTCAATTCCGTGTGCTGCACCCATCATGTCGCTTCCCAGTTTGTACATATTCCGCCACTCACCTTCGCCACGGCTTTCAGCTACCATAATCCGGGTTTATAGCATTCGGGACAGTGATTACTAACACCTGCAAGGGGTGATCCAATATTCAATTACGACATTTTGTGCAGCAGCAAAGGGTGAAATGCAACACGACAGTGGGTTCTATCGAGCATGATATACTGGATTTTAAATCTTCGAATTAGCATGCTGAATGTTGATGAGTCCTCACAGTCACGAAAACCGAAACTAAACAGCAATCGCTATTTAAATGCCAGGTATCCTAACAACAGTTTTGCTTGTAGTGATGGTAGGAAGCGCAGCGTTAGCTCAGCGTTAGCTCAGCGTTAGCTCAGCGCATCTGGCCACTGTGTCTGCGCACTGCTCTTCATCGCAGACCGACGACCCGATGTGCAGTTCCGTACAACAATAGGATGCGGCTCCACAGCCCCTATGTCCTAGCAGGCACATCGTGCTCTCTGAGGCAACGGCTCAGCTTTGTGCTTGGGATGTTGGTAACGATGTAAAATAACCGAATTAATCGCTCAAGGGTCTCCAATTAACCGGATTGTGCCCGTGCAGCGACCGCTCGTAGATCGTTAATCCCTTGCAACGTGGGTTCCTGCGCTGCAAACTCGGCTAGTTCGCCAATGATTAGTTAATTGAGCCCGAAGTTGAATCACTGAATGTTCTGCACCAGCGACCTGCTCCAACTTGACGCGCGCTTGACGGGGTCACCAACCCTTCCGAGCGTCCGCGCCGCCCTGTCAACAGGGGCCGACCGGACTCCCGCTGGGAGGGGTGCTCGTGACCGCGGCGGCCCTCAGTCCGGTCGACAACACCTCCCGCGGCCGCGCCGACCTGTCGGGGCGCGCGCCGCGGGAGGAAAAAGCGCGCGCCGATTTGCATTAGTCGCCGCGCCGGGCCGCCGCGTGGACAAACATAACTGCGATCTGATGAGTGATACGGTGTCGCACCGGCGCGGAGATGGTATCGCCCGGGAGGCGCCCCGCCGCGCGGGGCACAGTGGCCTGTTTATTGAAGAGCCACCCCCGCCGGTGCATAATGGGCGGCAAAAAGGTGGGGCTGGTGGTAAACGCCGCTCGACTGCAGCGACAAACGGAGGCACGGGGGGGGGGGGGGGGGGCGGCTGGCTCGTCTTACAGGCGCCACTGCGCCCGGGCTTGACAGTGTAATTGTGGCTGCAAAAATAATGATGAGCCCCGTAGCCCGTCATTAGGGCGGCGAAGTAATGTCTGCAGCGTGCATCAGTTCTGAAGCCCTCGGGTTTTTGTTCGGAGGAGCCACAGCGGGCTCAAATTGCCGTTATCAGTGCAGGTTGCCTCCTCGATGATGATACAAACAGATGCTCCTGCTCAATTAGGTAATCGTGTCGTAATTTGATTATAATG